AGCGGTTGGGGTCTCATAACAATGTATGTTAAAAAAAAAAAAAATTCTGTATGGGAGACTAACTTGAAATGTAAACTTCATTTAATTACAACAACTAAAAAAAAAAAAAAAAGATCACCCCAGCTCCGATGTTCTCCCTGTGCCCAATGGGCCCAGGTCCAGGTGGAGGCTGGCCCTGTGCGGACCCACTCTCCCATTTGGGCCTCAATGTGTTGCCCATCCGAGAAGAGTCTGGAGCAGATGCCGCCTGTCACCCTGTCTTCGAGCCTCTCTGCTGCAGGTTTCACACTTTCTCTGCACAGTCGTTTGGGGTTTAAATCCTCCACTCACTCAGTTAAATGCAGAGCTACTGCCTCAGTAGAGACACCTGACAGCAGTTACTGTCTTTTTCTCAGCAGTTGCTCCACATCTCTTGACTGAGGCCGTGGGAGGTGGTGCTTGGTGTCAAAACTACACTGGTGTTTTTTATTTTGGCATCTTCTTATATGAGCTTGAGGTTCTGTCTTCCTATAAGTGGGCAGGAACACATTCTCCTAGGAAGGAGAAACGTGGCTTCACTCTGTCCCAGTCAGCGCCTGCCCTGCATAGCTGCACATACATCTCAGCAGTGATGGCTCCCCACAGAGAGACCCTTTGCTTTTTCTCCTTATTTCCTCCCTTTTTATTTACCTGCTGTGGAGTTTAAAATATGCAGAAGGAAAGGACTTGTGGAAGTTTGATGATAAACTGTTAGCAAAAAAGGACAATATTGTTACTATTGTTAGTTGCTATCAAGTCATCTATGACTCATAGTGACCCCATGCACAATGGAATGAAACATGGCCCAGCCCTGCACCATCTTCATGATCATTGGTGTGCTCAAGTCCATTGTTGCACCAACTGTGTATTTTGAGTGCCTTCCAACCTAGGGGGCTCATCTTCCAGTGCTATATCAAACAGTATTCTGTTGTGATCCATAGGGTTTTCATCGGCTGATTTTCAGAAGTCAATTGGCAGGCCTTTCTTCCTAGTCTGTCTTAAATCTGGAAGCTCTGCTAAAACCTGTCTACCATGGATGACCCTGCTGGTCTTTAAAATATCGTTGGCATAGCTTCCAGCATCACAGCAACACACAAGCCACCACAGTGCCACAAACTGACAAGGGTGGTAGGAAGACAAGAACAGCATAGTTAAAACAGGAGCTGTTTCTATCCCCATAGCCTTTATCTCCAAGTTGAGGATCCAGGTTTCCTCCTCTTTTCTGCAAGAGTGGGGCCACACCTAGAAATGCAGCCCAAGAAAGTAACAGCACTCTGGACAAAGATGCCAGACATGGGTGATGGTGAGAAGTGACAGCAAACTGAACAGCCACACATAGGAGCTGTATTAATACGTGATGGTGCAGCTGGTCAATGGAATAGTGTACAGCTATGGTAAAGGATGACGTGGGGCTGTGTTTGCTGACGTGGAAAGATGCCTGGGATTTGTTGTTTGAGGGAAACAAATTACACCTCCCCCCCCCCCAAATAAAATGCATATAGCATGATCTCATTTTATTTTTGAAAAATTATACATAGAAAAATTCTGAAAGGACTGCCAGTGTGTGGGTGTTTCGTAGGTGGGATTACAAGTGCTTTTTTCCTTTCTTCTGTATATCTTTTAGCGTTGTCTGAATTTTTATAGTAAGGGTGTGTTAGCTTTGGGTTTTCTTCTGCTGAGTAAGCATTTCCATCTTAGAGGAAAAGAAGAGTAGGATTGATTGGGAGAGTCGACCGTCTTCTGGATAGGGGAAGGGCTCTCAGTCTTAGTGACTGAGTGACTAATTGTAGGTTTAAATGGAGCACTGTAAGTCAGGTTTTTAACAGTTGCTTCAAGGAATTTATAGGCACATCAGAATTTAAAGGTTTTTCAACTGTCTGCCAAGAGTTATTTGTGTAAATGTTCCTTTATCTCCTAAGTAACCGATTTTACATTTTTGAGCAAATTGGCCTGGACCACACATTGGCAAACTGTCACTGTAATGGAGCAAAAATCTGAGAGCGTGTGAGGACTGAGGGAAGGAGTAGGAACGTGGAGGCGAGCATCTTGGCAAGAGGCAGCATGAGCTCACTGAAGCAGGTGGGTGGCAGCTGACTGATCAGCCAGCTGGTACCCCTTGTCCATCACAGGGCAGGGTTTTTGAGAAGTTCCTTGTATCTCTTTCCCTGTGAGGCCTATCTCCAACAATGTGTGTCTCCACTAAGCTCGCATTTGGGATATGAGAAAAACAGTCTCCAATATTTTTATTTTTATTATCCTTGTAGATGATAAATTTGGACAAATAAATGGGAAAAATCGGTGTTAGTTTGATGGTCACAACAGCAATTCTTTCCACCATAAAAACCAAACTAAAAGCATATTGTGTTTAATCCTAGAAGTCCCATTTTTGTAATACAGTATTAAACTAAAAGAAAGACCCCCAAAAGTCAAGCAACAATCTTTACAATCAGAGAAGGTTTTTACTGATTTTAGAAAGTGTATTCTAATCATGTGGATGATTATTTTTTAGACATCACAGGTGTTGTCCTTCCCTCTCCCACCTGGGAGATTGCTACCAGACAGAAAGAGTCTCAAGAGTTTAATGAAAAGCCCATTGAAATCTGTTTACTAGCGTGTGCATTGTTCTTCTGAAGATTTCTGTCGATGGCATGCTGAGCCGTGCAGCAGCTTCCCTCTAAATTAAAAATTCCGATGAGCACAGCCTGCTTTCTGCTGAGTAATATCCTGCTGCCCTGCCTGATGTTGATCTTCCTGCCTCTGCTTATCACACTTTCACACCTTGCATTTCCTGCAGACCCAGGAAGACCTCCGGCCGCCCACTCCCACCAGCATCTGCTCCTGGCAGGACTCTGAGCCTGATGCCAGTGCAGCATGCTCTCGGCCCCCCTCCGCCTGCTCCGCTGGGAAAAGAGAAGACGAGCGGCGGAATGCGGCGGCCAGGATCCTGCAGGCCCAGTGGAGGGCATGCGTGCACAAGGTGAGACCCCAGCTCTGCTTGATTGACCCTGCTCCCCCCAGCAGCCATCTCACACTGCGAGTCCACTGTCCGGCACCATCGGTGGTTGGCACATTGATTCAGCTGACATCACTGAGCACCTTTGACATGCCAGCTCTGTGTCAGGGGCCATGAATGGAGGGAGGGCAGAGTAGACACACCTGAACAAAGTGCCAGGTGGTCAGTGCCAAGAGAGGACCACTTGGGGCCACAGTGCAGGGAACGCCCTGTCCTGCTGGGAAGGGAAAAGCGTATTGGGGATGGGTCCACCTTTGAGCTGGTCCCTGAAAGAGGCACAGGACTCCATTGCCAGGTGGACGGTAAACAGTGACCTACTTCCCGAGAGCCGCTGTTAGCTCACCTGCACCAGCCAGCACATAGTGCGGGGGCAGCTGGCAGAGGTGAGGCTGGGCAGTCACAGGGAGACTAGCTCTTCAGGGCAGAGGTGTCGGCAGCCATTGGCCCACCCCCAACCTCCCTGGGTCACTGACCTCTCTGTTGGCATCTGAACGTTGACCAGCGAGCTGAGGGGTACACTGTAGTCAGCTTGATGCTAAGAACAGCTATGGAGGATTTGAAGTCACCCACAGCTCCCCTTTCTGGGGCTTCCTGGGAGGGGGCAGCTCGGGGCCAGTCTTTTAATGAGGGATAGGAGGCATCTGCCCGATGGCTGCTCTTGAGAAGATGCCAACTCTGAATAACTCTGAGTAAGATCTTCAAGTTTACAGATTGGCCACCTGAGGAGAAATGAGGTCTCCTCGCTCTCCCGTCATCCTCCTTGGCCATCCTCTCTGATTTCACAGCAGTTAAGTGGGGTGACTGGGTTATACCTGAGGAAGACTTTGAACTCTCCTGGAGACTTTTAATCTGCTACAGCAGCATTCCACACCACAGCTCAAACTTGAGATTAACCACCTCCACATTGGCTACCTCAGTAGCTAATGCCCCACACATGACCACTCAGAAAGTCGGTTCTGTGACAGAGTGACATCTGTTCCATCTTTCTCATGTCATGGCACTTTTCCATTCTTCAACTGTTACTCTTCCCAGGCTTAATACTTAGGCTGCTTTCATTCCCCAGCAATATCCTCCCTAATATCCGTCCTTATCTACTATCTGATGCCATCTTGACCACAGTCTTTATTGCTGCTGTTATTATTAAGCCTATCTTCCCTTCACTTCTCTTCACACCCTGCTGGTCCTGGTGCTCCATTTTCCCTACTCTGTTGAGGGGCAGGCCCTTTGCTGTGACACACTTGGGCATCCAGTCGGCCTGCACTGAAACTGGCTGATGTGCATGTCTTCCAGTGTGGCCATTAGCCACCAGACCACATGTAGGATCAGGATCTCAGAGGTTCACATCAGGAGAGACTCGACTTTCATCTGTTTCTAAAAATACATGTTCCTGGGGCCCATCTCTGGTGACTCTGATCCAGTCTATTGGAGCAGCCTGAGAGATTTTAAAGTCCCCAGGTGATACTTTTTATCTTTTTTTTTTTTATTTTAATTTTGGTAGAAATATACACCCAGAGCAGAACATACACCCATTCAACACTTTCTACACGTCCAGTTCGATGACATTGGTTACATTCTTCGCATTGTGTCACCTTTCTCGCCATGTCTACCCATATTGTTTCACCACCATTGACTTAGACTCACTGCTCCCTAAACTTCTCACCTGTGCTTTAGAGTTACTGCTGACAATTTGATCTCACAGAGATAATTCTTTAAGAGAGTGCAATAGTCATGGCTAACATTCTTTACAAATTTAGCTGAACAGTTGTTTAGTTTAAAGATGACTTCAGGGGACAATTTCAGTTCATGGTTTGAAGACTTTCTCAGAGCAGTAGATTCAGGGGTTCCTCCAGTCTCAGTAGATCCAGTAAGACTGGATTCTGTAAGAATTTGAAATTTTGTTCCACATTTTTACTGCTTTTGATCAGGATTCTTCTATGGAATCCTTGATTGAAATGTTCAGTACTGGTAGCCAGGCACCATCCAGTTCTTCAGGTCTCAAGATAAAGGGGGGCAGTTTTTTCACAGGAGGCAGTTAGTCTTTCTCTAATTCTAGTCTCCAGGTGTCTTTGACGATGGGTCAGCCTGGGAGTCAGTGACCCCGACTCCAGACAGGTGTCACCTTGTGACATCACCAGCAGGTATCCAGCCACTCTGCAGCAATCAGAGAGGGCACCCAGGTCAGAACAGCACTTGTCATTAGAAATGCTCTTCTGTGTTGACCTGCGCCAGCATCATGGCACCTGCACATTCTGGCCTCCCAGAGTGGAGGCTGGGATGGCCAGCCGAGAGCAGCTGGCCACCCTAACATGCCCCACACCGTTACCTTAGGGCAAGAAAGCTCACTGTAGTCTAGTCATTGTCACAGAGTTTGGTTCCTTGGGCACCATCAGCAAGGCAGGTCGGGAGCCCAGGACCTGCGGGGCATTGTGGGAGCACGGTTGAGGGGGGCATGGGGAACTGGTTGTTGCTGCTGTTCTTTGTGTCCTCACAGTGTTTTTCCAGCCCTTGTTGACATGTCATGGTGGTAAGACCCAGAAATGAAGACTGTGCTGTGGGAAATTCATCCTTCTCATGCTAATTCATACTTTATTTCTTTATTTCAGAAAAAAGAGGCTCTTCTGGATGAGGTAAGCCAGGGCTGTTTCACCAACCTCAGAATATGATGCAGCAGAGCATTCTCACATTGGAATAAAGTAACAGAGGGGGTATTTAAGGAAGCCACGAAGTGCTTATTTTCCTGAACTCAGACCAGAGCCCAACATGAAGTTTAAAATACATGAGTAATATAAGCATCAAATAAATATTTGGGTGAATTCATACTTTCAAAATTCATTTATTCATTCATTCTCTCAACACACTTGTGCTGATCATCAGCTCCGTGCCAAGCAGTTTGACAGATCCTCAGACAGAGGGAGACATTAAGACAGGCAAGTCGACAAGTTGCTATGATTTGTGGGAGAGTGCTGCTCAGAGCTGCGTCTGTGGCACCGTGGGGGCTGCCAGTCCCACATGCCAATGCCAAAGACATCTACAAAAGAGGTGGCCTTGAGTGGGGCTTTGCAGGGTGAATAGCTCATTAGACGAGAGGCGAGACAAGGGCACTGGGGAGAAGTGAGGGTGGGCCTGGTGAAGGGGGTGTCTGGGGAGTGGAGTTGGAAGTGTGAGAGTAGACTGGGATGTTTTATGAAGGGCAGAGAGTAAACGGAATCTTGAACAGTGCAGTTCTAAGGCATGACCCTTTTTCGTGAGGAGCTAAAAAATAAAATCTACTTTGTTAAAAAGTCTCCACAGCCTCTCAACATTTCCTCCCTGCTCTTGGGATTCTTTCTGGGTAGCAGTTGTAGTCCCAGGTTACAGGGGCGGGTGGGGGTGCCCCATTTCCATTTGGACCACAAAGGGGAGGCCATGGTTTCCCAACTCTAAGGGTGTGGGTGCAGGTTCTGGGGTTTCTGGTACTTTCTTATTTCCAGTCCTGCCGGGAGCTCCTTCCCATTCTTCCCAATTAAAGTATCCAGGGTTCGGGCCCAGGAGGTACCACGGGTGATGCTGATGTGCAGCCAGAAGTGAGAGAGAGCATGGCCTGAGTGGCCAAATTTTAACTTGCCTGCGCCAATTACTATCCCTTTAACCTTGGGCAAGCTCTGTACTCAGCCACCTCACGTGGAGGTGTTGGACCCCAGCTGTGCACCAGGCTCTGTGCTAGGCTCTAGGGAGTGAACTGTGAACCAGCGGGACACAGCCCACCCTAACAGGGTGCCCAGTCCACAATCAGACAGCCACTGGACCCGTGTGTTCAGCATGTGGCAGGCTTACAGCGCCAGGTTTCAGTGAGGGGCATGAGTGTCTGAGGTCTACGTTCAAATGGCACAAGCCTCCCTCCATTAGCAGGCTACTGGATGCCAAACCATTGCGCCACCTCACCCATTAGAGAGCACCCCTGTACTGCTCCTCTCAGTCCCGGCCACGGCAGTCACCACCTCGGTCACCACCACAAGACCCAGCTCCTCGGGCCTGGGCCTGCTCCCTCCAGCCCCTGGTTGTCCACTCGGGGCCACATCCTTCCTCTGGCCAGTCCAGAATTGCAGTTTCAAATGTCCTCTCTCTGACCTTCTTCTCCCATCTTCAGGTACTTCCATTGTACACCTGCACCACCAATTCTAAGATCCCACACCCCAAGATCTCTGACACATTGGCCTTCTCCCTTGTCCCTCCGTCAGTACCTGCTCCCCTCACTGCCCTCTTCAGTTCATGGGCCATCATTAGAATCACTCCCACCTCAGCTCCTTCACACTGACCTTAAAGTGGTATTTTTATGTTGTATGTATTTTACCATGAGTAATAGAGGGAGACCTTCTTCATCCGCCCACTACCAAATCTGCCTATGTTCTCTGTAAGCATGACTGGAACCACACCTCCACCAGGGTGACCATGCCTCCACCGGGTGACCATGCCTACACCAGGCTCCCTCTGTTCCTGCCGTTACCCCTCCTTCAGGCACATTCCTGCCCCAGGCCTTGGCATGTACTCTCCTTCTGCCTGGAAGGCTCTCTCTCCAGGTATTTGCCTGGCTTGTTCCCACCCTCTACTCCGTCTCTACTGAAATATCACCTCCTCAGAGAGCCCTCCATGTCCACCCTGCTCCATCATCTCCAGTCCCGTGCCCTGCTCTCCTTGTCTTCCTAGTATGTTTCTCTACCTGACATTCTGCTGCACTTGCGTTACTCTTTGCCTCTCGGAGTGTCAGTCCCATGGAGGTGTAGGCCACCTCGTTCTTGTTTGCTGCTCTGTCCTGAGTTCCTAGCATCATCCCTGGCCTGTGGCAGGTGCTAAATGCATAATGTTTGAATGAGTGGGCACATTTGGGACTTCCCAAAGGACCGGATCCCGTGCTTATGAGGCAGATAGCCATGTGTGTCATCTGTCATATTCTGCCTTCTCTCTTCACATGTCCCCTCCTGAAGCCTCTGTTTGCTCATCTCTGAAGTAAAGATGATAACAATACCTACTTTTAAGGGCTGCATGAGGGTTCAGTGTGACAGTCTGTGGAAAGTGTGTGGCCCCCAGAGGTGTTCCGTGAGATCCCATCCTACAGCAGTGGAGAGGATGTGGCATCAGTGGGCCTAGGCCCTAGTGTGGTCCTTGCCACTCCGTATGGCCACCACACGGGTCACATGACACCAGACTGTGACTCAGTTTCCCTTGTTTATAAGATGGGAATGTTAGCATTAACCCTCCTGGGGTGGTTGTGAGGTGTGAAAGAGAAATCACTTTTTAGCATTGCCAAAGCATCTGGGTTAAATGTAGCACTCAGGAAATTCTACCGAGTGTATCTACTCCCCTTACTTCCGTGCTCTGGTTGGTATCATTTCAGCAACTCGGAGCCCTCCAAGGAGCCCTGGTGGCGCAATGGTGAAGCGCTTGGCTGCTAACCGAAAGGTTGGTGGTTTGAACCCACCCAGCGGCTCCACAGGAGAAAGACCTGGCGGTCTGCTTCTATAAAGATTACAGCCCAGGAAACCCTATGGGGCAGTTCTACTCTGTCACATGGGGTCGCTATTAGTCAAAACTCAATGGCACACAACAACAAACAAGAACTCCTCACCCTTCCAGCTAATGCAGAGAGGCACCCCATAACTAGCAGTAGCCTTACTGGGTTAGTCCAAGTATCTGTCATGTTCTTAGCGTGTTGTTTTGTCCTTAATAACTGACGTTCTCTTGCCTTCCTTTGTGGTACTTCGTTTCTTAACCCTGTGTTTCTGACATTTCCCTTGCCTTTAAAAAACACGAAGTTTGTTTTTGTTTTTTTTTTGGTAGTTAATATAGAAGCGTCTAGACCTCTAAGCTTATGTTTTATCTGCACTCAATGTGATGCTTATTGTTCTCTTAAAATGTTAAAAGAGCCGTGAGTCCTTTGTCAAGCTGTGGTATTTTTAACCAACACTAGAAGTAGGATCACTCAGAATTGACTTACGGAAAAAAAGTGCTGTCCACAGAACATTGATTTCAGAACTTAGAGAGAGCATCTATGTATATTCCTTAGGAAAATCATTTAGGATTAAGGTCAAAGGGTAAATAATTTTATTGCCATAGCTCTAGGGATTCTGCTATACCCTGCCCTGGGGGTGCAACAATTAAGCACTCGGCTGCTAACCGAAAAGTTGATGGTTCAAACCTACCTAGCACCTCCTCAGGAGAAAGGTGTCGCAGTCCGGTTCCATAAAGGTGACAGCTTAGGAAACCCTATGGGCAGTTCTGCTGTGTCACAATCAACTAATTCTTTCAGAATCGATTTGACGGCACCTAACAACAGCAACAACATATGAAAAGTACATGAAAGTAGAATAAACCATTCTACTGTGAAAAGATAACTGTGTAAAACATGGACTAGTATTAACAGCTAAATTTAATTGCTTTGAATGGATAATTCATTTATATTCCAAGCATCCATTTACTGAGGGAACAGGTACCTGTGTGTTTTTCTTTCCAGAGCAGTGGTGTGCTCCTGACTGGAGATTTCGGGTGAGAGAGAAAGGTTCTTGTAGCACGGTCTGTGACTGTGCAATAGTAAGGGCAGTCATTTTCTCTACTGTTACTGTGTTTCCCTCTGGAAATTTCTTCCATCTGAAACTGCCATCTCCCAAGGAAATTCACATCTGTTTCCTCTCTCCTCTCCCACCAGGCAGCCATCGTGCTTCAGGCGGCTTTCCGGGGACACCTCGTGCGGGCACAGCTCCTGGCCAAGAGAGCCTTTGGTTCCCCAACTCCCAGCACGCCAAGCCCCCCAGGGAAGGTAATGTCAGGGTGCAGGGCTCAGACCTGACATCCCCCCACTTCCTGTTTCCACGCACTTCACCAGCTGGGAGCACAGAGCATTGTTCACTCTTGGCTTCTACCTGTCCAGGAGGTGTGCCTTACCCACCACCCTCCTCACACGCCACCCCGCCTGACACGCTACCCCTTCTCACATGCCACACCCTCTCATGCCACGCCTCCTCACATGCCACCCCCGTCACGTGCCACCCCCCTCACATGCCACCCCTCCTCACACGCCACCCCCTCACACACAACGCCTTCCTGAAACACCACCCCTACTCACACGCCAACCCTCCTCACGTGCCACCCCTCCTCACACGCCATCCCCTCACAAGCCACCCGTCACACGCCACACCCCTCACACGCCACCCATCCTCACATGCCACCCCCTCACACGCCACCACCTCCTCACATACCATCTTCACACTCCACCCCTCCTCACACTCCACCGCCTCACGTGCCACCCCTCCTTACATTCCACCCTGTCACGTGCCACCCCTTCTCACACACCACCCCTACTCACACGCCAACCCTCCTCACACGCCACCCCCCCACACGCCACCCCCTCACACACCACGCCCTGCTCACACGCCACCCCTCCTCACACACCACCCCTCCTCACATACCATCTTCACACTCCACCTCACACGCCACCCCTCCTCACACGCCAGCCCTCCTTACATAGCATCCTCACACACCGCCCCTTCTCACGCTCTACCCCTCCTCACATATTACCCCCCACACGCCACCCCCCCCACACGCCAACCCTCCTCACATACCATCCTCACACTCTACCTCTCCTCACACACCACCCCCTCACACTCCACCCCTCCTCAGCATGTCACCCCCTCACACGCCACCCCTCCTCACACGCCACCCCTCCTCATATACTTCATACTCCACCTCTCCTCGCACGCCACCTCCCCCTACACACCACTCCTCCTCACATACCATCCTCACACTCCACCCCTTATCACACGCCACCCCCCTCACACGCCACCCCCCACATGCCACCCCTCCTCACATACCATCCTCACACTTCACCCCTCCTCACACTTCACCCCTCCTCACACGCCATCCCTCCTCACACACCATCTTCACACACCACTCCTCACATACCATCCTCACACTCTACCTCTCCTCACACACCACCCCCTCACACTCCACCCCTCCTCAACACGTCACCCCCTTCGCACACCACCACTCCTCACACACCACCCCCTCATATACCATCCTCACACTCCACCATCCTCACACTCCACCTTCTCCTCACGCCACTCCCCCACACGCCCTCCTCACATGCCACTCCTCCTCACATACGATTCTCACACTCCACCCCTCATCACATGCCACCGCCCCCCACACGCCACCCCTCCTCACATACCATCCTCACACTCCACCTCTCCTCACACACCACCCCCTCACATCCACCACTCCTCACACGTCACCCCCCTCACATGCCACCCCTCCGCACATGCCACCCCTCCTCACAGGCCATCCCCCACACGCCACCCCTCCTCACACACCATCTTCACACTCCACCTCTCCACACACGCCACACCGTATCACATACCATCCTCACACTCCACCCCTCCTCACATACCATCCTCCTACACCACCCCCTCACACTCCACCCCTCCTCACACGCCACCCCTCCTCACATAGCATCCTCCCACACCACCCCCTCACACTCCACCTCTCCTCACATGCCACCCCCTCTCACATTCCACCCCTCCTCACACATCACCCCCCTACACCACCCCTTCTCACACTCCACCCCTCCTCACACGTCACCCACCTCACACGCTGCCCCTTCTTGCACACCATCCCTTGGCACAGTCAAGCAAGGAAGTTCTGCCCCTGGTTTAGACCTGCAATTGATTTAGCTTTAGAGGCAGGATGGCTTTGAAGAGCCAGAGACAAAGTAGCACGTCCATCTTGTGTTAAGATAAACCGTAAAAACCAAACCCATTGCCATCAAGTTGATTCTGACTCATGGCGACCCCATGTGCTATGGAGTAGAACTACTCCGTAAGGTTTTCAATGACTGTAATGTTAACAGAAGCAGATCATCAGGCCTCTTCCATGGAGCCACTGGGTGGGTTTGAAACGCCACCCTTTAGGTTAGCAGCCAATTGCTAACCGTTTGCACCACCCAGGTACATTTCAATTAATATAGAAGCTTAAAAAAATAAGAAACATGTAAGCTCTCCGTATCAGCTCCTGCCTCCTACCTTTTCTGTCAAAAAGATGAAACATACATCAGGAATCTCGAGAGTTCAGAGCCCACCATCAGGTGAGAGCTGACTACGTTCATTAGTGTCAGCTGGGCCCCCTGGAGAAAGGGGGTGGGCGAGGCTGAGAGCCGCCTCCTTCCACTGTTGTTGCAGCACCCTGCCACACCCCGCAGCCAGAGACACGCCACCCCAGACAGCGCGGAGCTGGAGAAAGCTGTTACGCTGGTCCAGTCTGTCTTCCGGGCACACCTGGCGCGGACCAGGCCAGGGTGAGTCAGGAGGCCGTCCACAGGGCAGGCCTATCTTCCATGTCAGGAGAAGGGCGCTGGAGCAGAGACCATGCAAGAGGCCGGCCACCCTGAAAGCCACCCTAGCACCATCCCGGGGATGGGCTGGTGAGCAGCAAGTCTGTGGGTGCCTGCCGCTGAGAGCGGGCCACTAGCCGTGGTGAAGGCCACGACTTTGGGAAAGTCCTATCACCAGGTTGCTGTGGAAAGGGCCACAGTTCTGACTCTTGGGAAGAGGCATTTCTGGGTTTGTTTCTTCAGACATGTAGCTCAGGTATCCACTGGCTTGTAACTGGCTGGCTGATTCTGTTAACACGTTCCTTTTTAAAGAAAAGTGTGATGTAATCTGTGTTCAGCAGGATGTGGGTGTTACCAGCATCCTTCCTACAGCAACGCATGCTTGTTTCACATAGCAGCCTCCAGGCCTCCTGTGTAGGTGCCAGGACCCTCTTGTTTAAGTCGACTCGGGCAGAGTGGGATTTACTGTAAGACCCAGAGAGTGTCTTCCAGAACACGAGGTCAGGGCTGCCATGGGCCCGGAGTAGACCAGACCCAGGTCTGGTGCTCCGGTGGGAAGCCAGGACTCCTTGTCCTCGTGCCCCACCCCACCCTGCGTGTCCACCTTCCCCATGTGACAAAAGATGTACCAGTAGCTTTTCAGTCTGCCACTTCTCCCTGCAGAAAGAGTGCCAGATCCCATGGTCGGAGCCCCTGTCAGTTGAGATGGCCTCACTCCTCAGCCCAGGCCAGGGCTCCCACCCTGGTACAGTCAGCCTTGGCCAGAGGGGGAGCTGCTATATGCCTTGTCACCGTGTCCACTGGGGACAGGGCAGCTGGCCCTGCAAGGGGAGTTGGCACCCAAGCCTTGCCAGAACCGCGGAGCCCTGATACACAGAGCAGGAAGGGGAGACGCCCCAGCCAGCAAGCTCCTCTGCCCAGTGCAGGCTGTTGGGGCCTTTCCGAGGAGCTTTCCAGCTGGGGTCCCAGAATTCTGGGTAGTTGGGCTCTGAGGCTGCCTGGACAGCCGCTTTCCAGCACATTGGGGCACTCCAGTGTCTTAGTTAACCCTGTGCTGGTATAACAAATATCACAAGTGGGTGGCTTTAACAAACAGAAATTTATTTCTCACAGTTAGGGGCTAGATGCTCGAACTCAGGATGCTGGCTCCAGGGGAAGGCCCTCTCTCTGTCAGTTCTGAAGGAAGGTCCTGTCTCTTTAGCTTCTGTTCCTTGGCTCTTTGGTGATCTTCATGTGGCATGGCATCTATCTTTCCCCATCTTTTGTCTGCTTCCTTGCTTGTTTAATCTCTTTTATATCTCAAAAGAGATTAATTTAAGACACACTCTATACTAATCCTGCCTCATTAGCATAACAAAGAAAACCTACTCCCAAATGGGATTATAACCACAGGTATAGAGGTTAGGATTCACAACACATATTTTGGTGGGGCACAATTCAATCCATAACACTTAGTGTAGGCCTCAGACCCATGTTCACATTCCTTAAAGCTGGAGTCAGCTGGAGCTTCTTTCTCTTTTCCAGTGCTCCTGGTCAAAGGACAACCACTGCAGCTTCTGCTAAGAGGACGTTTGCTTCCACGGCAGACAGGGACGCCTCCTCTCCACCTTCCCTCAGAGCTTCTCCTGGTAATTCCGCCTTGCGTTGTTCTGAGTGTGGGTGCAGGGCTGCTGGCCCACCGCGTGTTAAGTTGTGAGCTGCCGCCTTCAGGGATCATGGGGCTACGTGAGGGACACGGGTGGGTTGTCCCTCCTGCAGCTGTCTCCTCAAGCTGAGGAGACACCTCAACCAGGGCTTCCGCTCCCGTTCTGGGCTGTGGAGGAACGAGAAGCCCCGAGGGCCCCATGCTCTGCTGGAGCCGGTCCCTGTACCACAGCCTCTCCTGCCTTTACGTTCCTTCTCAGTTTCCTCTGGAGCGAGGTGGCTCCTTCCCTCAGAGCAGTACTTTTTTTAAGTAAAACTTTGCTTGTATTTTCTCTTCTACTTCATTAAGGTCCCAAGATAAACTATCCATGAGGAAGTCTTGGGGGCTGGCAGAGTGCCACCCCAACTCAGGAAGTCTCGTGTGGGGCTGTGGCCTCTGCTGGCTGGCCTTGGGCCCACCTTTTGGGCCCAGCATCCTCACATGCAAGTGGCAGTTGGGCCAGATACCCTGAAAGTCACTGTCTGTTCCAAAAACCTGTGATTCTGTGGGTGTCCTTCATATCCTTCCTCTCTTGTCCTGTAATTAGGAACCTCCCACTGCAGTTGCTTGCTTTGATGATTCCTTTAGTGCTGAAGAGTCCTGTTTTGCTGTTTGGGACTGTCCTTAGACTAAGGAATGTTGTCTTAGGGCTTTGTTTGTGGATGTAGTGTCCCGGGTGCTGAGCTATCAGACTCATCTCACGTGGGCACATTTCCGATGAAGAACTTTTCTATACTGAGTTCTTCAGTCTCAGAGATAGAATTAGAGACAGATACAAGTATGGAATAGTACTTGGTATAAAGGAAAACCACAAAAGGAAGCTGCTCTTCTAAACCAGAAACATCCTAGGGTGAGAATGACAAATGAGTGTGCACATCTTACCCGTTGTCAGCACGTCTTTGTGCAGAGTTGTGCTCTGACTCACCTGCCTTTGCAGCTCAGGATGACAGCGGGGCCAGCAGTGGGGAGACCGTGGAGGAGTCTGCGGCTGAGGAGGAGGCCCTGATGCCGGGGGCGCCTGCTGTAGGTAAGTGCAGCACCCCAGCAGGGAGGCAGGAAGGACAGCTGCCCTCAGCCAAGTGTTTCTTTGTGCATTAGGCACTGCCCCTTCCTTCCCAGGTCACTAGCCTGTCAAACTGTGTCTTGGAGAACGTCCTACATGAGCCAGCAATTTTACACCAGACCCAGTCTGAAATCCCCATGTTTGAAAACAAATTTCAGTCAATTCTTCTAGCTTTGTCAGAGCAAACTTTGATATTGTCTCCAAAACCTCTACTTTCAAACTCAATGAAGAAGGACAGGCAGTACAGGGATTTAAAGGAAGACATGAGGATGCCACTGTATTGTGGTGTCAAACCTTGCCTAATTTCATGGCGGACAGTGAGAATCAGAATCAGCACAAGGCTGATTCCTAAGAGGTAGATGTCAGACGTACCTCCTCTCTCCAACCTTTTTACCAATTCTAACACTAATCATCTCTCCCATGGCATTTTACTTCTGTGCTAGGTTGGGTAATCCATTGCAATGGCCACACAGAACTCACAGACCATACTTAGAGTTAGTGGTTTATTAAGGAAGTAACGGTACAACTGCAGATCAGGATCAGGAAGCATGTGAGCAAAATCTGGAAGGCTGCCCTGAAGTGGAGAGTACATCCCTCCCTTTTTCAGTGCAGGTTAGCTCTCTCTGCTCCTCTTGGCCATGCAAGCAAGCACGCCCTTCTCTGCAGTGCACACCCCCTTTCAGCCATGCAGGCCCCCTCTCAGCCCTCTGAGGACAGGCCCCCTCTGAGACAGGCCCTCCTCTGGGCCCCCTCAGGACAGGCCTCTGCTTTTGGCCTCCCTGCCATCAGCCTCTCCACTGCTGTCTGACCCAGCTCACAGCCAGTGCAGCAGTTTTGTTCAGCTCTCTTAACAGCATTCCTAGCAGGAGGTTTCTGTTGTCACCACTGACTCTGCCGCAGGGTCCCTTCCAGGTCTCTCACTGCCAGCTCTGCTGCAGAGCCCATTCCAGGCCTCTTGCTGTCTTCAGTGTTAACAGCTCATAACCTGTGGTACAGCTCCTCTAGGAGGTTCCTCCCCTCCTCTCTCTGCTTCTTGCCTTCTTGCCTCTCTTGCCTTTTATCGTCTTTGCTTCCTTCTCTTTCTGTCTGCTAACCTCTGTGGGGTTGCCTGCTTATAATTAGCAAACTCCTGGTCAATTTCAAGGCATGACCCTCTCACCAGGGCCACGAACTGACCAATCCCCTCTCAGTAGGCCATAGACACTTCATTTGTGTAGTCTGTAGTCACTTTATTTGCATAGTATATTGACCAGTCCCTGCAACAAGCTTACCAGTCACAGGGCAGGCTGCAGCCCAGGGCCAGACAAAAAGTATCAAATCACAAGTTGTTTACAGCTTACTCAGGCAATGCCAGTCAACCTGGACAAAAGTAATAAACCCTCTGGGGTGGAAAACTGGGGCAAATGTAACTCTTCAGGATTTAGGGGTGAGATATCTCAAGCTGTTTCTTCAAAGAACCAAAACAAAAGATAACATAGAGGAACTCACTTCACCACAGTTTCCCAAGCTGAAAACCCAGAGAGACATCCTATAGTGCTCACAGGCATTCTGGAGACTGTCCTATAGTGCGGTTGCCCCAAGGCTTCAGACTGTGCTCCATAACCCAGAGCCATGCTGACTCTGCCAGGCCAGCCTCAGTGACCGTCAGACTCCTTGTCAAGCTAGGTCTGATCAGGGCTAAAGTGTTTGCTTACACTGCTTGCCTTCCCTGTTTGCCATAAACTGTCTCAGAGCGGCTGCTTCCTCCCCTACCCCCCAGCTCCGCAGGCAGAGTGCACAGGTGTGCACGCAGGTGCCGCTCTGCTGCACCATCTCTGCCGAGGGAGTGTGTCTTTGTGAGGAGTGAGTCAGGCAGCTGGACAGTGCCTTTGGTCTGGCTGGGAAAGTGTTCTTAGAAGAAAAAAATGAAATTTTTAATCTCACAAAGTTCCACTTTAATATTGATTTCCTTAAAAGTGACAGAAAAAATGCTGCCACGCAGTGTCTGAAGCACAGCTGAGCTGTAATTTCCTTCCCCCTTTATCTACATCAGCGATGCTTCTCGCACTTTCTTCTTTGGGAGGTGGTTAGCAGGAGAGCGCCCTCCCCAAGCCCAGGGGCCAGCGGCTGCTGTCCTCACCGCCCCCAGTTCAGAGGTCATGAGGGGCCTGCCGCTGCCCTCCCTCTGCAGGGTGGAATGTTGTTAGGTGCTACTGAGTCGATTCCAACTCATGGTGACCCCATGTTTGCAGAGTAGAACTGCTCCATAGGGTTTTCAAGGCTGTGACCTTTCAGAAGCAGATCACCAGGCCTGTCTTCTGAGGCACATTTGGATGGGTTTGAGCTGCCAGTCCTTCGGCTAGTAGTCAAGCACTTAACCATTTGTTCCACCAGGGCCTCCTAGGGTAGATGAAAGGATCTGGAAAATGTAGATGTGATGAAGAAGCAATTAGAAAATGGGGAAATGGCACAACATCCTGATGGCTCATGGTGGCCTTTGGTGTCACCTCCCACATCACCCTCCCTCACACAAGCTGGGCATGCATTCAGGAGGTGGTGTTTTCCAACAAGCAAACCAGCGCTTCTCGGTGCCTGGGACCCCACTCTGAGAACCACACTCAGGGCCAGAAGTGTAGCTGGGCCGCCTCGTGCTGGCACGTCCGCACCTCGTGCAGTGCAGGTGTTTTGATTTGGGGGAATGGCCAAAATATTCCCAGCTGAGTTTGGAGATGGAGGAGGTGTGGCTACAGGGGGTGAAGTGGTGTTCTGGCAAGCAGCAGGTGGAACTGAGTCTCCTCACCGTCAATGCTCTGGCGTGGGAGTAGTGTCCACAGTGGGAGAGAGGCTGGGATGGAGCCGTGGAGCCGCAGAGCCCCAGACGCGGCCCCCTCCTAGGGAGGTGGTGTTCCTGACGCACCCTTCTCTGTGTTGATTCCAGTGGAGCCCAGGCTGTCCGGGTCCCAGCCCCTGCTCTCCAGGACACCGCCTGTGCTCTCTGGTTCTCAGCCTGTGGAGCCGCCCCCTGTGGACGAAGTGCACTCGGATGACTCTGATGACGTCGTCATCTCCCCGTCCCTGCCCGGGAAGAAGAGCTCCTCGTCCTAGGCCCTGACCGCCGTTCCCACACGGTGGGGGCTCATTCGGCATAAGGTCAGGGCTGAAAGGACAAAGCGCATCCTAGAGAACATAATAACTAAAATGGGAAAAATAATTTACCTTGTTAGAAAAGAGTGATATCTACTGAACACCTCTACCCCAGCCCTGGCTCTGCTCCTTCATGTGTGTATTTGCTTGTTGGTTGGAGGCATCCCAGATGCCTTCGTTTCCTTCTTTGGGGAGCAGGTGGGGCACCGTCCCCTCGCCTGAGGCTGCGGTCAGGGTCATAGTTTCATGCCAAACAGACATGAGTGCCCTGGAAGGGTGGTGGATGGGAGCCCTGCAGAGACGCAGGCCTGTCCAGCACATCATGGGCTGCCATGGACCTGGACACGTCGAGTTACCACCACCGTCACCACCATTCGTCATCCTCAACGTCATCTTCAGCAGCATTTGCTTTGTTCTGGGTGCAGCAAGTCAGGCTCACTTTGCCGTGCTGCTCTTTTCAAGAGAGTCAGATGAGGCTGGACACCCCAGGGGAGGGTTGTGGCCCCCACGGCCCCATAGCTCAGCGCAGCCACTACAGGCCACCCCGGGGCAGGGTGGTGGTCCCTGCGGCCCCACAGCCCATTGCAACTGCTACAGGCCACCCTGGGGCCCGATGGCAGCCCCCTTGTCCCCACAGCCCAGCGTAGCCCCTGCAGAAGCTAGTGAGCTACTAAAAGAGCCAGTGTCCTGATGCTTCCTGGTTCCACCCCCACTGGCACCACCTTCAAGGGCCACTGCCCGCCAGGAAGGAGTTGGAGTGGAATTCTTTTAGGGGGTGGACTAAGACAAAAACAATACCAGGTTAAAATGACAGAAGCAACATCAGAATTGCTTTTGAAAAATGCAGCAGGAAGAGCTCCTCCCCACAGCCCAGTCATAGGTGCTTTTACCACGTGGTCACACCGAGGCACGGGAGGGCTGAGGAGGCAGGCCTGGCCATTTGACTTGGAAGCCAAGTACTTGCACCCACGGTGACCAATGTCCTGGCTTCCAGGGACAGTCCCCCCCACTGTGGTGCCTGTGAGCCTCCTCATGGGCCACAAGCTGCCGCAGTGGGGCCTGTTGAATTCCCTCGGGCCAGCAGCTTGCTGTGCTTGGCAGAGTTCCTTCTGGAAGCTCGCCAGCTTAGTCCTTGGTTTGTTCTTGAGTTTGGCCCTTACCAGTGGGACACTGTGAGTACCAAAGGGCATTCAGACCCACATACCCCCAAGTCTGGGTAGTGAATTTTTCCTACAGAATCTACTCAGGGTCTGACCTGCCTGACCCAAGAACTCCTTCTCTGCCAGGCGGGTAGTCTGTTCAGTCTTAGGAGAGATCCAATACTAGAAAGTTCTCCCTGAGACTGAGCAGGCAGTTCTCCAAGGGTTTTGCCCACTGGTGATAGTTCCATCCCTGGACCCTACCCCGCAAACAGGACACCCACCCCCTCATCAGCATCCTGACATTGAACCTGGGGAGTGGGGCGGGCAGGCCTAGGCAGGTCCTTTTCTGGAAACTCAAGGGGCCTTCTCCACAGTGCTGGGAAGGGTTCCGGCTCCACCAGCAGCAGGGCCCTGTTTGAGGGTGGGCACTTCTATTCACTTCTGGTGGGACCATGGGGACCTCTCATCCCAGCTGTATGCATGCCGTCAGCATCCAGCGGGGCTCAGAAGGCATGGGCCTGCAAAGCCGTCCTCAGCCCCCTGCCATCTCCACGTGTGCTCCATTTATAACCGGCTGACAAGTCCAGCCAGGGGCCTGGCTTGTCTGATGTTTTTGTATGTTTGTTGTGTGGTCTGCTAAGTCAGTTTTCATTTTTCTTTCTCCCCGCTGAACTGAACGGTCACTCACCCGGGGACTTGAGGAAGCGAGTGCAGCCCCGCCTCGGTCTCTTCCTGTGGCCCAGCCCACCCACCCAGTTCAGAGGCAAAGTCTGTGGGCCATTCTGTCCAGCACAGCTCCAGGATGACAGCAAAGGCCCACCCACCAGCCTCGCATTCGCTAGGGGCAGGGGGGGGGACTCAGTCCTGTGTTGTGATCACCCCTCCCCCACATTATTGCAGGCATCTCTGCAGCTACTTTCTCACCCTGAGGTGCTCATGGCCTTGGAAGATCCGGGTTATGAGCATCAAGGAAGACTCATTCATCATCAGGGAGGCATGCAGGCCGTGTTCCAGGAGAGGGTGCACAGAAGGTGTACTGGACAGCAGGAGGGTGACCAACACATGGCCCAGCTATGGCAATGCTCTGTCGTGGGCCCCAGTTCATTCCTGACGCCCTGTCACAGGGTCTTGGGCCCATTCCTGATCCTCTGTCACAGGCCCAGGTCCCTTCCTGACAATCATGGGTCCATTCCCAGCGCTTCATCACGGGGCTGGGTCCCTTCCCAAGTGGCAGACGGCCATGCATCCTTGTACACCATGACCTGCAATCACCTGGACAACGGGCAGATCTGAGGAGAAGACCAGGTCAGCTGTGGGCTTGTTCCCCAAGAAAAGGCCCTGAGAACCATAAACATCTGGATCTCTCCATTAGAAGTATGTACATAGTCTCGAGGTTACCTCAGAAAGTGATGCCTCCACCCCGTGGCCTCACCTGGCCTCTGCGTGTCCAGGTGCTCCACATGGACCCCTTGCCAGCCGCTCTGGGGTTACCCTGGGTAACTGCACCATGGCTGTGTCTCACGAGAAAATGCCATGTCCCATGAGGAGGGTGGCAGGGCAGTGCTGGCACTAACTCAAGCCCTGCATCAGGACCACTGGCAGAGGGAGCAGCCAAGGGAAACCCAGCTGGAGAGGAGGGCAGTCCTGCCCTCTCCCTCAGCTGCTTCAAAGGATGGCCTTCAGAGCCTGTGCCGGCTCACGAGGGGCCCACCCCTCCCAGGAGCCTTCTGGAGCCACAGGCAGGGAGTGAGAATGGGAGAGTCCAGGAGAAAGGGGCCTCACCCAGGTGATTGGCACGGGCGCAGACCTAGGCGTGGACTCTCCCAGGCACATGGAGGTCACAGCCACTTGCTCTGCCTGGTTTCCACGGCAATGCCTCCACATCACGATGGACTCAGAGCAGTGGGAACACTAGTGCTATCAGAGGCGTGTAGGTAGTCCAGCTGCAAGGACACCCCTGAGCAGCAGAGGGCACATCTGGAGGCCTCTCTGGCCCCATGCCTGTGGGGGCCACTGCCCCTGCCCCGGCAGCTCCTTCCTCCCATGGAAACCCCCAAGGTGCATGGGGACGCGGACTGGCCACTGGGGCACCACGCCTGTGGGGCTACTGTTGGACCCTGTTCCTGTCACCAAGGCCAGTCTCAGCCAGAGTGGACCACCTGCCAGTCTTGTGTAGGTGCCAGGCAGTCACACACACGTCTAAGCAGAGCCATGACCATGGGGACCAGCTCCTCACCTTCCCCCACCTGACGAGGGACTCAGGAGAAGGTGCCAGAAGGGGAAGGCGCAGGAGGGCCCAGGCAGGCTGCTCACTCAGGGAACTAGAGAGGAGGCTGTGACAAGGCCGACAGGCGTTCGTTAGGCTGGTGAGGGAGGGGGGCTAGCTCAGTAGCACGTTGTTTCCAACAGACGGAGTGTGCCCATGGAGCGTGGTCCCAGAGAAAGGGGTGGGTGTTGGAGGCGGCTCATAGGGTTCCTGTGGGGGTTGGGGGCCTAGTGTCTGAGAAGCCTGTCCTGACTGGTTCACCGCTGTCTTCCCCGTGGCAAAGGGCATTGGTGTGCACCCCAGCCACCCGGGCGACACTTAGCCCAGGCCTGGTGTGTGAGCAGAAGGGCGTATTGGTGTATTTCTGTTTGTCAGGCTTTCTTTTCTTTTTTTTTTTAATTTTATTTGTTGTTAAGAATATACACAGCAGAACATACAGTTTCTCTGTGTAAGATTTAGTGGTGTTGATTGCATTCTTAGAGTTGTACAGCCATTCTTGCCCTCCTTTTCGGCTGTTTGTTGGTTCATCTTGGGTAGGAGGGCTCTCTAAGTAGGCAGACGGTCCCAGTGCCTGCTTTCTTCACTCTCTGACACACGTCTCCTCTCCTCCTGAGAAGAGGGTGAGGGCTGTGCTCCTGGCTCCTAGGCTGGACCACAAACCTCTACACAGAAGACCCGTTAATTTAGGAGAGGTGGGCCAGCATTGCACCGCCTACCAGGGCTGGGCTCAGTTTTGAAGAAGTAAAGACCCCTCCTAAAAGCTTATGAGTGGCCATCCATGATGCAACAATTGGTCTCTATTCACCTGGAACAGCAGAGGAAGAAGGAGACCCAGGAATCAGAGAAGGAAATGGACTACAGTTCTAATTGCCTTCGTGAACTACTGCCTCCTTTACCATGAGAACTGGATGGTGCCCGGCTACCATTACTGAACGTTTTGACCAAAGACCCAATAGATGGATCTTGATCAAAAGAGGAAAATCAGGAACAGGATTTCAAACTCATATGGAAACCAGACTTACTGGATCCATTGAGACTGGGATCTAATTCTAATTCCTGAAAATAATCTTTAAACCTTAAACCAAAACTCTCCCATGAAGCCATCGTTAAACTAAACAATTTAGCCCAATGAATAACGCATGTGTGCCTTGAGCATTGCACTCTGATAAAGAAGTTTCTATAAGAGTTCAAACTGACAACAGTTCATCTAAAGCCCAGATGAGAATTTTTAAGGGGCAGAGAGCCTAAATTAATGGTGATGAAACAATATGGGTAGAGATAGCATGTTGACACAGTGTGAAGTATGTAACCAATGTTACTGAATTGCACATGTAGAAACCATGTGGTTGTGTATATTGCCACCAAAAAAAAAAAAAAAAAGACCCCTGCAGAAAGCCCATAACTGTCGCCATCTGCGTAAAAACCCACTCACGGCAGACCCGCCTTGCTCTGTGGAAGCGCCGCCTGCTCTCATGGGCGCCCCCTGGCACAGAGCCTCTCTGAGGAGGAACAGAGCGCTGGATGTCTGCAGGACTGGCAAGTTCGAGGTTCCCACTGCCCGGCTATCTGGAACAGGCTGTCCCTGCCAGTGTCCCGGCTTGGCCCAGCCAGCCAGGGACAGGTCGTTGCCTGGCCGTCCCCTGAAAAGCGAGAGCAGTGAAGTCTGAACGTTGACATGTAAAAACATCGTGGTAGCTTAGG